CTTTTCCAACTCTTGAACTAATTAATGGAAACATTTATTGATTTGGTCATAGTTCTATTTTTAATATTGAGTGATTAAACAGTTCACAATGTTATTGGCAGTCCACTGATATAAGCCTGATCCTAACCTATTATTTATGAGAGTTCTTTCACTTTATTCCACTTCTATATATTCATCCATACAGCAGTGAATGTTGATAATATTTTAGATGGTGAATTTATAATGCAATCTAGCTAATGATTTGAGATGCAGAAAAATAACTGACAGCAAATTAAGATGCAGACAGAGTATATTGAAGATGACAAGTTTCTGCAGCTAACTCGACGGAGTCGAGTTTTCTCCCATCCGGGGAGAATAATGAGGACAAGAAATAGCAATATTTGATTAGTTGATATATTTTTGAATTTTGAATTTTAAAATTTAAAATTTAAAATTTAAAATTTAAAATTTGAAATTTGAAATTTGAAATTTAGTTTAATTTTAGTTGAGCGAATTGAGGGATTGTTGTTTGTTTCTATTTTTATTGCACGTTGTGTGCACGTAGTTTTTTTATAAATAAGGTTGTATGAGACTATTGAAAATCAATGAATTATTAAAAATTGAAATAAAAATTTGAGTTGGCTTAATTTGGGTGTGAAACCTAGGCATCGGGTATGAAACCCTAGGCCAATACCTGTTCCTCTTCTTCTAGCTGTCAAACCTCTATCTTTTCCTGTTTATCTGTTCATCTCACAGCTTCGTTGTCTTTTCCCAAGCTGCCGATCTCTCCCCTGCTCTTTCTAGCATTCAAGCAAGCCTGTTTTGTTCCCGGCTCCGTAAGCGCGTCAGAACCACCTCAACAATTGTTTGATTTTCGCCTCCGTCCTCCACTCTTCGAGCCGCCGTTTATTTCGTCTTCGCTGCCGGTCTCGTCCCCTACGCCCGCCACCTGCATCGACCCGACGACTACCCGTGGGACATCGCACCGTCCTCACCCCGTCGTCGCGTCGTCATCAGTTTAACACTGTCGCACTCGTCGTCATCGGATCTCCGCCTCATCATCGCCGTTCAGTTCACCGTTGTCGTCGCACCACCTCCATAGGCCTCTCACGTCAAGTCTGTTCAGACCAATAAAGGTTTCGTTTTCTTTCGTCCCTTATTTTTCTGTTGATTTTATTTTGTTAGTTAATTGCATGAATAATACATTGAGCCGAATGAACACTCCGACAAGTATAAGAGTATAAACTACTTCTTAATCCTCCGACCGATATAAGATGTTAAACTGCTCCCTGATACTCCAATAGGTATATGAGTCTAAACTGTTTCTCAATCTTGACGGGAAGTTCCTGGAGAATCATACGATTGAGGATAACGTACTCCTCGTTATACCCAGTTCTGCAAGAAAGCTGGGGGTGGATAATTCATGTAACGGGAAGTTCCCGGAAGAATGTTAAATATAATATTCTTAGGGATAACCCGATCATTATGAACAAAGTGATAAACAACATTATAATTGTGAGTTGAGAGTATCTGAACATGTGACTGCTTAAACTTGGTATTGATCTTAGAACTTGCGAAAGTGATAATTAATATTGCGATTAAATTATTCGAGATTGGGATTGTTTATGACTATCGTTGCAAATCTTGTTAAAATCCATTTGTCACATTAACTGTTTTAGATTAAATTTTCTACCTAAGATCATGAATTTTGGCGAAACGGTGCGTTGTTCGATTTAGATCGCTGATTCCGATGGACCCCCTCCCCCGTTTCGCATCAGTGGGATCGTAAAATATCATCCAAATCATAACCGATAATGCTTCGGCATGCAATGCCGCGAGAGGGCTTGTGGAGGGCACCTGACCTCACATATTTTGGACTCATTGTGTAGTCCATACACTTAATCTTGCTATTAAGAATATTTGTGCGGCTAAGAACACGGAAGCAAATGCCGTGGCTTATGCACAATTACATTGGCTTACAGAGATCTTCGATGATGCATTGGTTATGAAGAATTTTATCATGAACCACTCTATGCGGCTTGCCATGTTCAAGATTATTCCAAGATGAAGCTCCTATCGATTGTTGACACAAGATTTGCCTCGTAGATTATTATGTTGAAGAGGTTTAAGGTCGTCAAGAGAGCCCTCCAAGACATGGTCCTTAGTGATTGATGGAGCGTGTATAGAGAAGATGATGTGGGGAAAACTCAATTTGTGAAAGAGAAAATCCTCGATGATTTGTGGTGGGACAAGATAGATTTTATTCTTGACTTCATTGGCCCAATCTATGAAATGATAAGGGTCACCGATACCGTTACTATGTCTTCATTTGGTGTATGATATGTGTGATACAATGATTAAGAAGGTGAAGTAAGCTATTTATAGGCATGAGGGTAAAAGGAAAAAGGGATAACGTGGAATCTCTTTTTTATGAGGTGGTTCATAAGATCTTGGAGGATCGATGGAACAAGAGCAACACCCCGCTTCAAGCACACTCTTTAGTTCCAAGGTAATATTTCACATTTTACTATTTAATGCGAATATTTCTATTAATCAATACATTGTGGGCTAATTCATGTTATTAACGAACATAGGTACTATCATTCCACATGGCTCAATGAGAACGTCAATCAGCAAGCTCCAAATTAAGATCTTAAGATCTCTACGGAAAGAGCAAAGTGCTTAAGAAAATACTATCCTAACCCCGATGAACGATGGGCGGTGAACTTGGAATATGCTAAGTTTGCGAGGGCTTTGGAGGGTTTTAGTGATCCGGATTTTCTTTCCGATAGAGGACATATGGATCCAAAGTCATGGTGGTTTCTTTATGGTCCAAGTACATCAAATTTGCAAGCATTAGCCATAAAGCTTCTAGGCCAACCTTGTTCCTCTTCTTGTTGTGAACGAAATTGTAGTACGTATGGTTTCATTCACTCCTTAAAGAGGAACAAGCTAACCCCGGTACCTGCGGAGGATCTTGTTTATGTTCACACCAACATTCGCTTACTTTCTCGAAGTTCGGAAGAGTATATGGAAGGGGAATCAAGAATGTGAGATATTTGTGGAGATACATTTGACTCATTTTAAGGTGCCAGTATTTTAGATATTGTTGCCCTTTCTCTTGATGAGCCCACGATGGAGGTCGTTGTGTTTGAGGAGGATGAAGGAGTTGAAGCCATAGAATGAACTTTTTGATGTTTCAACTTGAAAACTTTATTTTAAGATATGCTTTTGGTTGTAATTTTTATATTTTTATAATGTTAGTAACTTAGTATTTTATAGCCATGGAACTAGTTGCAACTTGAACTTTATTCTCTTGTATTTTTATATGCTTAAGATGAAAGTAATGAAAATTAAAATTTGGTATTATCTTCAAATCAGTTACATTACTTACATTTGTCATTGATTCTACAAGCCAATGTTACATAATAATATAACATAAAAATTAATCTATTTTTCTATATGTTCATCTTCTCTTTCTTGTCTTCTTTAACATTATTGTCTTCAATTCTCCAAGAGATCATTGCCATCCCGACGTATTAATTCACACCTGCAACACACATTTTCCTTTAGTTTCTTATTTATAATCTCCACTTTACATAACAAAAAATATGAAAATGTAATAGGAATTTAATTATTTATAATCTCCACTTTACATAACAAAAAATATGAAAATGTAATAGGAATTTAATTCAATATTGATCTATATATAATAATATGAAAATGTAATAGGAATTTAATTCAATATTGATCTATATATAATAATAATATTAAAAAAATCTAGCCGTGTCGTCGTGTCCTATTTTTTTGGGTTTTACCATGTCCGTGTCGTGCCCGTGCTTCATAGGTTGATGTTAGTATTATGTGTGTCGAAAGGTTATTGATTTGAATATTTGTTTGCTCTACCTGTATAGGACTATGTATATGTATATATCTATGTTTATGTGTATGTCTGTGCATCTGTATATTAGTGTGTGTGTTTTGATGAGGAACAAGCGAAAGACGGTGGGGGCTTTGGGAAATCTTGTCGGCAGTATCAGAGGCCAATGAACTTGGGCTGCGAAAGAACAGAGGTTGAATTTACTGGCTTGGGTTCAAAGAAACAAAAGGAAAAGGAGATGAAGAGTGAACTTGGTTTTGAGGTTTTGGCTCTTTATCTTCTTGTGGAAGGGGAGTGCTGATTGGTGTTTTGGAGCAATGATGTCGAGTGTTTTGTGGATGGAGAGAAGCAGAAACAAGTTATGAGCCTTTGAAAAGTTTGGGTTTTCTTTGATTTTTTTATTTATTTGGAAAAGTGGTGATTGAATAAATAGCTCAAATAAAACAAGGAACAGATAAATAAAAATAAAAAAAATAAAATTGTCTAGATTGGATCTAAGCTTTCTTGGCTTCAAACCTTGGTAAATCATATGGCCACTATACCAACAAACCATATGCCTGATTTTTTCTCAATTTTATTTTATAAATTTCTTCATGCCTTAAAAAACAATGAAAGCATACCTCCTTAAATGAAGTTGCAAACCCATCTCTACTATTTGAAATTCAATAGGAAATCTCATCCCTAAAGCAATTCAAAATTCGAAACTAGATAAATTAGCCTAAAAGATAAATTCAAATATCCTATCTAAAATCCTGAGAGATAAATAAATTTGATTTTTAATAACTTTGTGTTCTATTATCTACATTAGATGAAGCCTTTGAATTTGTCCTACATCACACACATGCACGCATACACACACGTGTGTATTGTGGGTGTGCGTGAGTGCATGTGGGCAGGTGGGTGCGGGCATGTGCGAGTGTGTTATGTGCGGGCATGGTTGTGTGGACATGTGCGCACGCGTGCATGTGTGATAAGTTGCATTTCTTAAGCTCTCTTTAATTGATTTCTTAAGCTCTCTTAATTGACATTGTCATGCATTGAACATAAGAACCATTCTTGGAGTTGCAAATGGTGGCTTCATTTATTTTTTCCTGGACTACTGATGTTAATTTGCTCGGCCTGTGCTTTCCTATGAGTGTAGTAGATCTAACAAGGAGGTTAAGAAAAGGGGTGGAGGAGGATTTGCCAAAGTATGCAGTCTTTCCCCACAACTTCAGGAGTTCCTTGGTGAAACTGAGTTGGCTAGGACTGAGGTAATGCTTTAGAGTTTCTTTATGTTTTTCTATTTATCCACAGTTCACATCAACTAAAAAACTTCTATGATCTATAACTTAACTTCATTCTAATTTCTTGTGTTTGTTTTCAGGTTGTGAAAAGAATTTGGGCTTATATTCGTGAGAACAGTCTGCAAGACCCAAGCAATAGGAGAAAAATATTATGTGATGAGAGAATGCATAATCTATTCAATGTGAAAAGCATTGACATGTTTCAGATGAATAAAGCTCTTTCAAAGCATATTTGGCCATTGGATTCAGAAGATGGTATTTTTCTCTAACTGGCCACTTAGATCATCTATTTCTCTGAGGTTGTAGCTAACTTTACCATGAATATTGCAAACTTGCAGTCTGGTCTCAAAACTTGTTCTTTTCTCATATCCCTTTGCTTTTGCAGCTTTTTTAGCAACAGATGAAACCTACAATATGATGATGCATATAGTTTCCTCTAACTTGTGTGTACTGTTTCGAAAATTTTCTGAATCTTTGGATAATTATGCGTGACTAATTATGTTGTCAATTTTTTCTTATCATATTAGTACTATGTTCTGATGCCATACTCTTTTCGATGCTGTATATGTCCTAGTTTAACGCTTTTTATTTATTTTGGTCATTGTTTTCCTTGGAAATTATTAAAATTCCTTATCTTTTATTTACTTTAAGAAGCTCCTGAAAAACTTTGCTACAGAATGTCGTTTTTCATTCAGCTTTCTTTACCTTCGTCGTGTTCCTTTTAAATTCCTTCTTTCGTATAAGTTTCCATCATAAAATTATATTCAAGTATTTACCCTGTTTGAATTCAGAAAAGGAGTATTTTCCGGAAGGCCAAAGGACTACAAATATGTACATGTAGATGTAATGTTCCTTTAACATGTCATCAAAGCTGTGGCAGGTTGGTTTTGTTTTGCCCTTCCAAATGGGTGGAAGCAATACCACTAAGGGAGGTTAAAACCAAGAATGTCGTCAACTTCCTCACACGTGGTCTACCGCTTCAGGGTCCCTAAGCTAATGGGAAACATTGTCTTGGAAAAGAAGTCAATAAACTGTGGGTCTGGGATTGAAAGTTTATGCGCTTCACTCATATAAATATGAAAGTGAACAAAGTAGTTGACTGGATTTGGCTTGATCCTAGACAAAAAGTATGCAGGAGCTTTCAATGCCTAGATCCTAAAGAGGAGATCGTATCTAGTGGAAGCCATAAATACCTAATAATGTCATTATAACCGCTGGAGAAATCAGCATCTGCTCTTCTTGGAAACTGAATCACCAAAAAAGATGAGAATTAGCAGTCGAGCTACTGTCAAAGGAAGTATTTATCTGATTGGCATGAGAATGGACATACAACTTTAAGAAAAGATAATGCCGTGATGGAGGAAGCATTTATCTGATTGGCATGAGAATGGACATACAACTTTAAGAAAAGATAACACGGTGATGGAGCAGTAAAGAACTGTGTGACTAGGACATGGATAAAGTATAAGGGGCTGTTTGTTTCCTTTTTTTTTGAGAGGAAAAGGTGGGGAAAGCCTGCCAAAAGTGCATCTTTTGGCAGACTTTCCACCCAAATCACCTCTAAAAGAGGCGATTTGGGTGGAAAGCCTGCCCAAAGCTGCACTTTTGGCAGGCTTTTGGCAGGCTTTCTCTACCTTTCCCTCTCAAAAAAAAGGAAACAAACAGCCCCTAAATGACTCAATCTATAATAATTCAAGATCTATGTTATGAATAGCTGTAGAGTCTGGAGGGATAATATCTGCAGCAGAATGAAAAATATTTTATTGATACGGAGAAAGGTCAGAGAATCCAGAACACCGAGAGGTTGCAAATGTTGGTCTCATTTTCTAATACATGCTATTTGATATACTAAAAGAATTCCTCTCTTGAGAACAATTGAAAGCCTTTTACAGTTTGTGAGGGTTGTAGTCCCCAGTGGTTCACGCATTGGGAAAAAGGTGTCAAAGATCAGATTTTAGTTCTTTTTCTAGCAGAAAGGAAAATAAATCACATGTTCGCCTAATTTGCTAGGTTTTCTTAAAGCTATTTTAGTTGCTTTATAATGGAATGGGAAATAATAGTTCTGGAAGTTTTGTTTAGACCAATTAATTAACTAACCATGTTATCCATTTCATTCAATCAGTAACAGGAGTCCTCTGGTATTTTCCTCTGTGTTTATTATATGTCATTGATATCGAAAAAGCTTACAATAGACAGCCAAGGGAGTTAATATGGCCAGTTTTATTAAAGAAACATGTATCTAGCATAAATATTAATGTAATTGATGCTATTAAAGATCTATATGATAAAGTAAAAATTGGTGAAGATACAAAACTCTCCTGTTACCACAATTGTGTTAGTTATGGATGAACTTACTAGCATTGTTTTAAATACCTTCTTTATAGGTTGCATATCCTTTTACTAGGCTTGCCATGAAATGATATGGTCTCAATATTCTTTACCGTTTTTTTGACAATTTTTGGGCGACATATCCCCGACGATATATTTGTCGATATGTCGGCCAATATGTCCTTTTATTTGGCTTGTTGCAAAATAATATAATTCTGAAATTTTTATTTAATGTTTTTAGCAAAACTTCCAATACTATGAAATTTTTTAGCAAATTCTAGTAGGTTCTTCTCCCTAAGAAAATTTCTACAATTGTTTAGTGATCCTAATATACATTATTTATATTTTGTATGCTTAGATTTCATTTAGCAAGTTTAGTTACATTTTAGGATATTATATGCACATCATCCGATACAGCACTCTAATATTTACTACATATCCCCGATATTTCCCCAATATCCACAAAGTGATATGGATTTTGGTCGTCTGATACTTCCCGTTTGCCGATATTTACTTACTAGACATATTTAAGACATAGTAGTAAATCATTATGTTATTTCTTATTTGTTGATTACATAATAATTACATTATTAGCTTCTGAGAATTAGGAAGGATAACTTCTGAAGTAGAAAGGTGGAGAAAAGCTCTCGAATTTGAAGGCTCACAAGAATTTAAGCCGAGTAGAACAAAAATAGAATGCAGAATGCAATTTCGGTAGAAAATGTGAAAATATTGAATAGTGAATATTGGGGGTCAAACAATGCCTTAGGAATTATCACTTTCACTATTTAATATTTGTCATTCTTCAAGTTATCGAGATCGAGGATGATATGTTCATTGAATCATATCAGGATATCTTAAGTACAGGAGTGCTTTAGGTATCCCGTGTGATCACAAAATACCTATAAAATTGTCAGTTATAACTCATGGATCAACTTTTAAGTCCTTGTATTTTTGTTATGGATAATTTTATTGGACATAGTTAAGATGAAGTCTTATGCTGTTTGTTCTTTGCTGATGAAAAAATATTAGTGTGTAACGAGAGAATAATACTTTCTAAAGTAAAATGTGGAGATAAAATCTAAAGAACTTAGAATGAGCAGAATAGAAGCAGAATACATATAATGCAATTTTAGTAAAAATGTGAGAAAATGAATGAGTAGTGAATATTGTCGTTGAAACACCTTAGGAGTAATCACTTTTGCTATTTAAGATCAATCGTTTGTCGGTGTGATGAGATTGAGGATCATCTTTTCAGTAGGATGATTAAAGTGAACTTCTTCTCGAGTCTTTTGTGATTGCAGATTAAGGGAAAATATATGAAAAAAAATGAATGTAGTAAAAATGAGAATGTTTGATGGCCATGTTGATATACATTAAGCGATAGGATAAAGAACTATTATACGAAGTTAGAGGTTGCTCCCATTGATGATAAACAGAGATGTCCAATTGAGATGGTTTGGTCATGTTTAATGGAGATCACTTGATAGACCAGTTAAGGAAAAATGATCAAATTGTAATTAATAAAGTTAGGAAAAATGATCAAATTATAATTAATGAAGTTAAGAAAAATGATCAAATTGTAACTAATGAAGTTAGGACGACCAGAGGTAGACATAGCAGAACTAGGTTGGATATAGCCTTTAACAGAACTGAGGAGAATAATTGCATTCGTGTTGTGGACACCAATTGCCATTGATCTAGATTACTATGTTTAAGATTTGAACATAAAAATCTAGGATCAGCTAAATTTATTTTTGCACTGTTATTACCCCTATACACATTTGACTATAGTTAAATTTTTTGCTTTCTATGATTTAGCAGGTACTAGCAAGTCAGCACAAAAGGAAAAGAAGCCAAAAAAAGAAAGAGAAGGTTAGGGAAATTAATTCTCTTGTATAGTAGTATTGTTAACTGGTATTCGGTAATATTCATTTCTTTTCACAACTTCAGATGAATCTCCACCTAAAGAGAAGAAGCAAAAGGGAGGGAGAGGTTTTCTTGCACCGCTCCAACTTTCAGATGCTCTAGTGAAGTTTATTGGCACCGGTGAAAGTGAATTACCACGGTCAGATGTAGTGAAGAGAATGTGGGATTACATCAAACAAAATAATCTGCAGGTATCCCATCTTTGTTACTTTCTTATGTTCTTTCTGCATATACCTTGGGATTAGTGTAGTGGCTGGCTATGAGGTTACTTGAAGGGGCAACACAACAGTTCTCTAATATACAATCAGCAAGACATAGGAATAGCTTTTTACTTGTCAACTAATCAATATTTCATGATACAACTGTCATATGTGAGCAACATCATCTGTTATCTACATTTTTCTATGAACTGTTATGCATGTGTATTAAAGTTATCATTATATATATAAATATGCATGACGATACTACTTGCCGTTGACTATAAATGAAGAGTTCTTTCTTTATAATGAATATCTATTGGATTTTCTAAACGTTATTTTACATGTTTAAATACTCAATTCATACTGAGAAAGGGTACAAATCAAACGTGATCATCCTTTTTAGGCCTCCTATCTCTGATAAAGTTTGTATTATATGCAAATATACATGTGACAGTAATAAGTGGGATCCAAATGTGGCTTCCATGGAAGACCATGATATAGTAGTACAGTGTGAGATATGTCAGATATGATGTAGTATCATTGATTTACAGGTCAATTTCTCAAACAATCATTCAGTTTAGTGCTGCAAAGATTATGAAGACCCTTCATTAGCGATATACATGCACTTACATGTAAAATTCTAGTTTTTTATTTACAAAGAAGATATTAGCCAAAAAAAGCATCTGCAAACCAGATGTGAACTTTGAATCTGAGTCACTGACTCACTAAATTATCAGTTTAATTTCTTAGACTAGGAGATGGGAGACCTGTCTGGTAGACTAATACATTTTGACCCCATCAACACATTGCAGGTAAATAGTAATATTTGGTCTATTTAAAAGCATGTCTTGAATATGTATTACCAAATATTGTAGCACCCGGTTCCCGACACCAGTTATGTTCTCTCCATCATATATGTTCATAAATGCTACATTGTTCCTGCATGTACACATACTTACATGTAGAGATATGTGCATATATACACACATAAAAGTTCAGAAATTTTTTGTTCCAGTCTTTTATACAGTCATATTAAATACTGAATATTCTTTTATTTTAATGTTTCCCTTCATGCACACCAAGTAAATATGGTGTAAGAGTGGGATTTCATGGATGAAAGGGAGCATTTTGGTAGATTGCTATTTGTAGATAGCTAACAAGCTGAAAAATCAGTCGGTTAAACATTTGCCATAACCAGTGTTATTAATTATCTTGTGAAAGGTCTTAACTTTTGACCTCAAATTAGCTGTTTAAGTCTTCTGGGCACTTATCGATAGTGTATAACCAGGGTGCAAGTTGATCCTCCTGAAATATAGGGAATTGAAATAAGGATGGTAGAAGAGTGTAGAAAAATATCATTGAACTATCCTGTGGATGAGTTTTAGTACCATGGATGTGGCAAGTTATGCAATAAGTTGTCACTGTGCATCTGGAGTTTCATACTTTTGTCCTATTTTAGTTAGGAAGTATAGGTTTATTTTTTTACTTTATTTAAAGCTATTTGATGAAATCATCATTTTCATGCAATTCTAGTTATATGGTACTAGACCTATTCTACTAAATGTTGTAGTAAAGAATTGTACTATGTAAGACTGGTAAAGAACGAATCAGTTGATATCTGTTAAAATCTTTGTATTTGAATCCCAATTCAAATTTTATTCTTCAAATTTCTTTGGATCCAAATTCATGAAATATTTATCAAATGTTAAAATATAATTATTTGATTTGATATTATATAATTTACAATATCAAGTTATTTGACTAAACATTTTGATTTGATAATGATGTACAAACTGTCATTAGAATGTTTGATTTGAAAATTTGAGTAGGAACTCTTAGAATCCTCAAAATGAATATAAGATCTAGAAGGAAATATACAAATCAAACACAATATTATGTGTGTAACAACAAAATTATAAGTGATTGAAATTTAAAGAAATATTAATTAAGCAAATGAATTGAATATGTGAATGCTCATATTTGATTTGTTTAATATACGTCTAGACAAATTCATTGATTTCTCTTAAATGATCTCTCAAACAGAATTTAAACAAACAGTTAGATGAATATATATTGAACTATTTGATAATTATTCGATCAAGTTCAACCCCTACTTCTATGACACAATCTTCAAAGAATAGATCTAATAAAGGTTGTAGTGAAGGCTTTTTTTATCACTGTAGCTCTATGATATCATGCTGCGAGATGTTGAACATTAAGACAGACAAATTCACATGTATAGTCTTATTATACTTCACAATGTATCCATGTTCACGCATTCCATGTGACTGCATAAATTGTATCCATGCTGACCCATCTAGTTTTTAAAAAATTGTTTATTATCATATATCATGCCCATGTCCTATTTTGTGTCTATGTTACCAAGTTTTGAGTAGCTCATGGGAATGTTTAAATATTATTTTGTGGATGATTTCTGGATATATGAGAAATGGTAAAATTTTAAAAACATTCTGCTGCTGGTTATTCCATGTATCATGATTGGGCCAAGAAAAGTTGGATACCTTTCTTGTGGTTGAGGATTGAGAAAAACTGTGACATTTTCAGCAGAGGATACTTGAAAGAACTTAGCTGTAATCCATCATTTGACAAAATTCTAAAGAAAATACCCTTGTGGGAGGATCCTTGTCAGTGATTCAGAAATTTGCGTCTATGAGATACCTCATTTCTTTTCTTCATCCTGTCTAGGTGTTCAATTTCTTTAGGGTGCATGATAGTCAGATGGTTGCAGCACACTGGTAGTTTTATTAGTTTTAGGCACAAAAACTTGCTGGTGTTTATTCTTCTAGATAAGTTGGCTTTCACATCAATCTGGGCCACTATTAGTATGCATTTCTCAGATTTCTGCTGCTAACTACCAATATTTTTATGGGCTTAATAAGTCCACGGGAAGCATATGTGCTTAGCAAATAATTCTGGATGAAGCCAAAGTAATACACAGAGAAGTGAGTGTGCAGCTGATTACTGTTGAGATTTAGTCTGTCCTTTAGAATCTTGTGATTACATGGAGTAAGTTAATGAACGCGTCTTAATGGCTTCAGGGCTATGTGGCAATGTTACTTTAACCACAGGCACGTGCATTGGGCATGGAATTGAAGTATCACTGATTTGGTGTTCAAAGATATGTTTCGTGTTTAAAGTACCACCACCGATGTCACCTAATTAGATATCCAAATTGGGGCTCGAGAATGTTGATAAGATCATTTTTGAATTGGCATGAAGTCGTCATTTTTCGATGATCACACATAAGAGGAGGCAACTGATGATCTCAGTGCTGCAGATTAGCTTGAATATACTGTTGATAATAAGAGGACTGAGGAAGCTCGAATTTCGAGTAAAACGGTATGGTTGATGCAATGGAGCTTAAGCAATATGAGCTTCCAAGGAAGTTTCATTGCTTTGCATCATTTGAAACTAAGCTCCTTCCACTCAGTGCACTCACCCTCACATAGTGTGCTGCACACAACACCCTATTATGCATACATAATGGGAAAGATTTTCGTTTTTACATTTTTTGCAGTAAAAGAAGATCAGTCTGGCAGCAGTCCGGAGGACCAAGATGTTTCTAGAGTTTATTAATCATCCAGTCATGCCTTCGCTATGAAATATCCTTATAAGTTCAAGATTTTTAGAGCTAACCTTCAGGTGTATTACCATCAGTGAAAAACTTGCATGTGAAATTTTATGACCTTTACCAAGATATCCTGACCTTTAATGCTAATTAATCATGGATAAGTGTTTGTTTATATAATTTGAGAATTCACATTTTGTAGGTATGGGTAATATAGAACAATACCTAATGGCGACTTTATGAATCCTAACATTGTCTAGTATCATGTGGGTGGAAAGAGATGGATAGATAGATAGAGTGAGGGAGGCAGGGAGAGTGTGTTTGTTTGCATGTATATCATGTTTACTTGCTCCAACTTTTTGGTAGGATCCTGCTGATAAGAAGACTGTCATATGTGATGAGAAGCTGAAAGAGTTGTTCCAGGTCGATTCCTTCACCGGATTCACTGTTCCAAAGTTGCTCACAGCTCATTTTATCAAAACAAAATAGTATACGGTGATCCTGCTGGTATTCCCACAACCCAAGGAAACGGGCAATTTTGTTTGCAAGTGTAAGTCAGAATGTTCCACCTGTTCACCATTTTGGTTCTTTCTTCAGTTACAATGTCCAAAAGATTGATGAAAGAATGGAAATGAAATCATCTGTTCGTCTCTTTAGTTAATGTTCACCGTTACATTTCATAATTGCTCCACAGATTTTAGATCTTAATGTAGGCATGGGAGATATGCTAAAAAGCAGTGTTTTTCTCTTTGCTTTTTTTAATTTATTTAGGACGTATATTGTTTTTGAAGTTTTTGAGTAGAAGAAGATTCTATTTTACTAGAGTTATACTGAGTAGGGAGATGATCATTTTTACTAGATTTCCTTATGTATGATGCTTTATAAATTAGAAAGACAAATTCCTGTCATGCAAATATTTGGTTATTGATTGCTATTGATAGATTGATCTTCGTTGATGAATTGATGCTTCATTTCTTATCTTTCTTGTTTCTTCCCTAATCCTCTCTCCTTGCAACAGATTCTCCTCCTGTTCTGCATTAGATTCCTGGAGGAAGGGGTATTAGTGGGAAAAGAGAGTACATTGATCTCCTTACTATTGTTAGATTTCTGAAGGAGATTAATGGGAAAAAGAGAGAGTAAGTGAAGAAAGAAGAGAAAACTTGAAGGATAGTGAAGATCAATCAATCAAGAATCAAATCTTTTGGGCTTCGTTTGGATACCATGGTGTTTCTTTGTTGTGTTTTTGTAAGAAACCACTATGGTGTTGTGATTTCTACCTAAAGTGTTTTCAAAACACCATGTTGAGTGTTTGTAGTTAACAGTAGTTTAACCCATTATATTACTAGTATTAAACATATAATTAATATATTATATATTAATTATAATAGAATATATTATAAATAAAATGTTGTCATATTTATTTTACATTTATTATAATATCACTAATATTAAATATAAGAAAATATAATATTGTATAATATATTATAATATTATATTGTAATTTAATAAATTATATTAATAATATAATGATTACATATTATTTTCAACTAATAATATATTTAATTATTTTGATATATCAATTTGCTATTGTTATATTATATATTATTTTTAACATAATATTATTTTATTATTAATATAATATTGTACTATTATTAATATATATAAATATTTATTAATAGTATTACTATTTTTATTACTAGTATATTATTAATAAATTAATATATTATAAATATTTAACCAGTTATATAATATATTGTAGTTTCTAATATGTTAGAGTTCATTAATATTACTTTAATATATATTAATAATTGATGATATAAATAAATATTATTATATTATGAATATATTAATATTAATTACCTTTATTAGCAATAAATTATTTTTAGTTCATAAAATATTATATTATTTTTAAATAAAGTATTTATATTTGTATATTATATTATATTTACTATATAATTTACTAATATATCATTATTATATTATTTTTCTATTATTGAATGTATTAAATATTATATAAATTTTATAATTATTAATTTATTATATATTATTTTATAAAAAATTAATAATATTATAGTGATTATAATATTATATAGTATATTATTATATCATTATGTATTATCAATAACTTTTTTATTAATTTATATATATTTTACTATTATTTATTATTATATTACGTTAACATATTATTATATAATACATTATCACCATATTAAATATTAATATTTAATATATTATTATATCATTATATAATATATTTTAATAATATATTTTATATTATTTAATAAATATTGCTAATATATTAGATTATTTGTAATATAGTACAATATAACATAATAAATATGTCGATAATAACTATGTATTAATTATATTTAACACATTATGTTATTATATTAACAGTAACACATTCTCAAACATCAAACTTAAAACACCAAAAAAGTATTTTGAAATAAGTACTGTGTTTTTTGTTTGAGGATGATTTAGCTTAAAAAACACCATGGTTTTCAAACGCGTGGTGTTTTAATTTTGACAAAAACACTATGGAAACAAAGCAAAACATCGCGGTATCCAAATGAAGCCTTGATAATCAGAATCAGTGTTTCTACTTTCAAGGCATTGTTATGTTGTTTCTATTTTTAAGGCATTGTTACGTAGGAAGCACTAGTAAAAGGATAAACTTTCTTCTCAACTGTATCTCCAATGAAGATAGAATCTTCTTCTACTCAAAACTCTTCAAAAACAATATAAGAGTCATATCGATCTGAATAAAACATAAACTCCAAGCAATTCTAGGATATCTCCTACAACAAAATCTGAGATCTTTGGCAGAATCTCCATCAATTTCATTTCAAGTTTCGTTAGATAGATGATGGATAAAGTTCTCATAAATGTTGATTCTCAGTACATTAAAATAGTTTTAGATTATAATCGTAAAGAGTAAAAATGCCTAGGTTCAAATGCCAGAAATACTCAATGAAGATGCCCACTTAAAGGTTTGTTCTCCTTGAGCAAAGGTTATTTGTATTTCAGTTTAGGTTTTGAAGAGCATAAAGGATGCACATCTTTCGAAATGAAAGGTGATGGTCTACGATAATAGAATCTGAATGCTAACCTCTACTTTCGAACTCCCATTTCTCATTCATCATCTATAGGCAATTGTCCTATTAATATTGTAAATTTGTCAGGATTTATGGGAAGTATGTTCTCCCTTAGTTATTCAACAGTTGTTAGTATTATGCCTTGAAGCTGTGCTTTGCTCCATCTGCTGTTTCTAATAAAATTTCAATAGCAAACCTGACGGTTCTCTTCCAAAGCTTCATATGATTCTGATAACTCCCGAAATAGTTATTTTTTAATTATTTCTTTTTTTAATATGGAACAATACATATTTAATTAACAGCTTCTGTTTTCACTTAAAGATTATTGTTCGTTGAACTCTTTAGTTATGCCAGTTTGATGAGAAACATGAATCATATTGTTTCTTTTAAGTTCAGTTGTTTTCTGATGAATGTGTTTTACAGTGCTACTTCAGTTGACAACCTCTTGTAAAGATGAAAACCATTTAGTTGGTTATTAAACTTGGAATATTTTACTTTTTCATTCCTGGATAAAGTGATTTGTGCATTGTGGATAACACTCCAAGAAGTTCGTTTAGGTGAGAATATATTTGATTCTAGTTTCTACTTTTTTAAGCGAATTCACATGACAGAGAGATATATAGGAAAACCGACTTTGATTTAGATCCTTGTGGGGGTTGGAATTTCTAGGGAAACTAGACTTCAGCTCACCTTTGAAATCCTTGGGCTTGACATACTAACATTTTTCTTTTCTTTTGACATTTTGATGCAAGTTAACAGTAAATTTTATGCAGTCACTTGAGAGAGAGAGAGAGAGAGAGAGAGAGAGAGAGAGAGAGAGAGGGATCTCCATGTTTTTCTTTAGGTTGATTTGTTGAATATATGAACCATGTAGTTTCCTTCCCGGCCTCCAAGTCCACTGTTACATCTGTGCATCTGCTCCTTTATCATATTCTTCCTAATTTAAGCCTTCATGCTTCATCTTTTAAGAACTAGAAGTGAATCCCTCATCTTGTTTTCAAATCTTAATTGATTTATAAACTGAGCAATGGCTCAAACATATGTTTAAACCCAAGGGCATATGAATTCCTCATCTTCTAAACTGAGCAAGGCTTAAATGTGAGTACGACATCTTTCCTTTTCTGTGGGATTCACCATTGCACTTGTCAGTCATGCATGCTGCACCTTTTAGATTGCTTTGTAGGACTTACATTATCTGTTCTTTATGTTACAAAATCCATTAGATGTCATATCTGGCGGCAGTTGTTTGGGTGGGTGCTACAACTAAAAATATTAGCAGATGCAATCAAAATATATAGTAATATGCGAACTATACAAACCGCTCATGTAATTTATGCAAGGGACTATAAATGTAGTTCTGGAGTTGCATGCTAAACCTAGCAATTAAGTTTTACTCATTTATGTAAATATATGGATAATAAACTCTTTTCTCTGGATCTTTTGCATTTTGTCTTTCACTAGAGAATTCTGGATCTTTTGCATTTTATCTTTCACTAGAGAATTTGTTAGTTTGGATGGTTACCTTTGATAAGCTCACAATCCTAAACACCATTATAGTCGAGCAGTGGGGAGCCTGGCCACTACCATAGTATTGAATCCAGTCTTTCCACTTGGGATGATGCTTACATACAATTTAGATATCGTGAAGCCATTTTCAGATTTGGTCTTTTGTTTGTTGTCTAGCACATCAAAGTATTACGATGTTCCTATGCTTATTTTCAGATTTGGACTTTCGATCAGTTAGATTTATCATAAATTGAATTTCCCAGATAGAAATATACTTGCTGCCCACCTCTCAAATCCAAATTTGTTTCCATCCTGTCGAGTTTGATGGCGCCCTCAAGGCATTATTACCTCCAACATCGGGAAAGTCTGATAAAAGCCTGAATTAGCCCCCATTTCATTATAATGCTTTTGGTACACTCTAGCTAGGGGTGGCAAACGGGTCGGGGCGGGGCGGGGGGGGGGTAAATGGGTCAATGTGACCCGACCCATTTATTAAACGGGTTACCCGACCCGACCCATATAACCCGAATGACCCGTTTAATAACTTAAGGGTTTTTTTCCGGCCAAAATACAACTTGTAATATATAAATGACAGAGAAACAAAAAGGAACGTAGAAAAGATGAAATTTTATTATAAATTCATGAGAAACCCGAGAAACATAGATTTTTTATCAGTAAACATATCATGATGATTATGCTAATTGCTCATGCACTTAATGATAATGAGCAGACATCTTTAGGAGGCTGAGTATCATGCTTAGAGCATTGCAAGATGTCACACAACACACATGCATGAGAAATTAAGCTGATAGGTAGAAATCATACTCAATTAATGCAATATATTCAGAGTTGAGAAATCGCCAGAAGCACTAAATTTAACCAGTTAGATTTTATCCAGAACCAACATTGTTCAAACTTGCACATAAAAAATGTAATGGTTATGAAAACTCTCAACTTAATCAAAACACCAAGTTTAAATACAAAAAATCCTGATAAATAACAGAAGTTAAATTTTTCAATTTAAAACAAAAACAAGCTTACCAAATTGATACAAAGAAATTGATCCAAAGAAAGCAAACAGAAAACATCAAAATAATAGCAAACTTGCCAAGGTATTAACACAAAAAGGGCCAGGAACAAAATCACAACACATACAAAGTACTAGCATAAAGATCAAGTAACAGAAAAAAGTTCATTAAAGCACACCTCTCTAGACATAGTTTTATCAGTAACAGATAGCAATTTCCCTGTTCAGCTATAGCAATTATAACATGAACAAATTTTTGTAAAAGTGTGGCCTCAACAAAAAAATTACATGCACTAAGGTGTTCAAACACAAGAACTAATTACAGACAATATTATTTACACAAAAAAAATTACAACAGTAACAAACTTCTGCTCCTTCACAAAAGCCAAGAACAGGTGAATTAGCAAGCACAAACTCGATGAGCTTAAGTTCAGATGTGATGCCGCTGAAGTCAGTCACCTCCACAACTTTGAGTTGACTAAATGTGCAGTTGAAACTTTCTTCTTCTTCCCAAAAGCCATCAGATGATATTGTGGCGATTTTCTTGTCTGAGATAGCCTAAAATAGGCATGAATAAATGAATAATTAGAACTTTACAACAAAAAAATCAAGGAGCATGTTCCTTTATAACAAAAGCTACTCTTCAACAACAATACTGTCGATCTGACCTTGAAAGCAAATACAAC